ACGGCTCTGCAGAGTGGGAGCTCGGCCAGGTGCTGCAGGCCCCCGCGGAGAAGAGCAGCACAGACCTGCGGAGAGCGAGGCTCGTCCTTAGGGAGGCCCCACCCCACAGCGCCCTCCAAGCCCCCACCCCGGCAACCGAGGCACAGCCTTACCGCGTCCAGGGAGCATTCCGTGTTGGACAGATCCAGACGTGCAATGGCATTGGGTTGAGCCAAAAAATTGTACATGTGCTTGCAACAAGAGAGAGCAAACGTGAGAACCCAGAACACAGGTGCGCACATGGGGACATGCACACGCACGGCGCAGACACACACGCAATGCAAGGCAATGTTTTAAAGGGAAGTTGCCTGAAGTCCCAGGGTCATTCTCGGTCCTCCTCCACTGCCTGCCCTGACACTGAAAACCCAGAGGCTACTTCAAACAAACCAAGCTGAGGAGTAATCAGCCGACTAGGACTGGCTGCTGCCCCGTGTTTCTCACAGTGGACTGGGCTCTGCTGGTCGGCTCGAGGTTTAACACACGTGGCACCGCACCACTGACTAGCCCCAGAGAAACATGCCCCCTGACCGCAGTCGGCCTGTCACAAGCTCCTCACCCCCATGGTGTCGAGGCCCAGAGAGCTCCTCCAGTGTGGCCACAGGCAACTCAGCGGCACGCACATCCCTCAGTGCCCTTCGTCCAGCTGTAGCTGTACCCCACGCCTGAGAGGGCACCCTGGCAGCACAGCTGGGACCCGCCTGAGCGTCCCTCCTCACGACAACGCTGACCACACCTGCTGTCCCCTTCTGGGTGGAGCAGCAGCTCTGGGCCCTCCTGGGGTGCCACCAACACCTGTGACACAAGTGGCCAACGCAAGCGCCTGGCCCAGCAAGCAGGGCGGTCTGTCCCCACCCCAGGCTTCTGGAGGGCCCTCTCCAGAGAGTGAGGGTCAGGCCTGAGAACTCCTGGGGACAGCAGGGCGGCAGACGGGGTGTCGGGGAGGCTCCCCAGGAAGGCCTCCGCCCACTGCCCTCCCTGTGAGGGTTACAGTCCCACCTCGGCCTGCTTTGAGCCCAGCCTGGGCGACCCCGGCTCATGCACATTTGTTAATAAGCTTGTCGAGGTTTTCAGCCAACCGGTGAGTCTAGTCTCGATCCGCTCGGCACACCGCGGGTGGACCTCCCGGGCGGGGCTGTTCTCTCTGACCCTGACAGTAAGACCTGCACAGCCTACGTCGCCCACTGCCGGGAGCGTCTCCTAACAGGGCCTTTCTGCCTCTGCTCAGGCCCTGACGAGCGGGCGGGACTCTGGCCCACCCCCGGCTGCTTTTCTCTGTGGACACTCCAGGGCAGTCTATGCTGTCACCCTCTCAAATAACTGCGACCCGTAAGACCCCCCCATCTTGCCACCAGATTTAACACTGGCAGACCTTGGTGTGTGTCACTGACCTGCCAACGGGCAATCGGCCGGCTAGCGAACCAATGGCTTAAAAGGAAGGCAAGAATCGGGTACGGGTACGGGCTGGGGCACAGGCAGGCCCAGGCCTGAACCCGCCCTGTCTAAAAGCTAAGAGTGGGCACCTCGCCCGGGCCCTGCTCCTTGGGAGGCTGAGGCAGGAGATCGTGAAACAAGACCCTGTCTGAAAAAAACACCACACACGACAGACAGCGAGAACGTGAACTTGGGCCCTGCTCAGTGCGGAGCAAGCGACAACGGGATGGCCTGCAGGGGACACTGGACGGGCAGTGACGGGGCAACAGCCAGGGGGACACCGGATGGGCAGTGACAAGGTGATGGCCAGGGGACATCAGACAGGCAGTGACAGGGTGACGGCTGGGGGACACCGGACGGGCAGTGACAGGGTGACAGCCAGGGGGGACACCAGACGGGCAGTGACAGGGTGACGGCTGGGGGGCACCGGACGGGCCGGGG